GTCCTGTCCCGGGAGGGCCTCCCCGCTCCGCCCCAGCAGCTCGGGTTCACTCAACGCCCCGAGCGGGTCCTCACGCCGCCTCGCGTCTCTCCGTTGCGGGCTTACTTTCCAGAAGCTCCTCCAACTCCCGGTCCGCGTCGGCCGCGACCCCACAGTCCCCCTCCGCTGCGGCCATCTTGCTGCCTCCGCTGCACCGTAGGGGGCGGGACTCCGCACCTCGCGCCCCACCCCTTCCGCCTCTGCGACCAATGGTAAGGCGGGCCCGGGCAGAGTCGTCATTTTTAAAGGGACAGCAAGGTGTGGGGTTTGTTTTTCTTTTCAAAACCATTTAAGTAACAGAGGGGAACTTACTGGGATCTTTTGCTAGGTTTCTTACTGGTCTGCACACTTTCTGACATACTATGTATTTTACCTATTTATAGTGTTTATATTGTCCTCCCTTCCCCTTCGCCTAGGCCTCTCCCTCTGGAATTTCAGTGCCCTGATGGCAAGGATTTTATTCCTGTCTTCACTGCTGTATTCTCACTCCGAGGCGGGGCCTAACACTTAGTTGGCTCTCCCAGACCTTATATGAGGACCATCTTGATGCGGAATCAAATGGGCATCTCGTTTCCTAGTCTCCATGAGAACTGTTACACTAAGGCCTGGGACTTAGAACTCTTGGTAGAATCAATTCAGGCAGGAAAAATTGCTGGGGTCCAGCCCCAGCAGGTCCAGGGGTTCCCAAAGGTGTGGACAGAGTCGGAGAAGAAGGAATGAAACGGAGACAGCATTCAGTTGATCAGCATGGTTGGGTTCTCTCTTTATTGTTCTATTACATCTGTATTTATACCATTTGATCCTATACACATGCCTCTATAATCACATCATGGTATGTTTTGGGTAACCTTCTACAGTTCCTTATTTCATTTCCAGTTTCTTATCTGATCTTTGCCAAAAATCCTATCTCTATCTAGTTCAATTGATTTTAATCTTGTCTAGGTTAATCTCTGTGTTCCATTATAAGGGCTATTCCAAGGTCACTGCTCTATTGATAAGCTACAAGGAAGTCACTGAAGGAGATAATCCCACCCAGTAAAGGTTATGTCCTCCCAGCCTCACTGCTTGCCTTCCCTGGGACTGCCCTGTGTCTGTGGGTCTCCAGTGGTATAGGCTTTGATGCTTTCCCTGGTGGGCAGACCCCTGGGGATGCGGGCCCAACAAGTCCCAAATTTATTGCCAACAGTCTTAGTCCAAGTTCTTCATAAGTAGTACATGGTATTTCTGTAACACTGGGGGGGGGTGGGCTCCCTGATTTATTCTCTTTTGAAACATAAGCTGGGCAGATGTTTCTTCCCTGCAGCGACTGTGTCAAGCAGCAAGGGTGGACCGGCTTCTGGCAAATTCCCCCATTTTTACTTTTTAAATGACAGCACGTGTAAATCAGCGGCCACCTCTCGGATTGGGTTGTGTAAGACTCGGAAGAAGACTTGTTTGTGACTTTGCCAACAGGTCAGTCCCAGGCTTAACCCTCTATCGGCTCCCCACAAAAAATATTACCCTGAGACCTTGAACTGAGCAAGAGAGCAATTTGGATGTAGTAGTAATAGACCTGCCTTCCCTGCCCATCTCCTCTTCTCTGTACAGAATCCAACCGCCAATGGAGGGAATTTGGGGAGGCTCACATAGAGACATTCCAGACAACCCCTTCTCCTCTGGATTGTTCTATTCAGATCATCAGAACACACAAACTGCCCGAGATACAAATCTACGTTAGCACTTAGAGGGCACCTACTGTTGAAGACCCCGCACAGTGGAAGACAGATAAATCAGAACCAGCTGTAAAGGAGCTGACTGGGTATTAGGATGGAGGTAGTACTAGACATACACACAGTAAGAACAGCACAAGGTCTTAAAATTGTCTTAAAAGAGGTCAGGATAAAGTGCTATAAAGTTTAAAAAAGGAAAAATCACATTAAAATGAAAAGTCATTTCATGGTTTTTATCGTTAGCTTCCCAAACACACCTGAATACTGTTTCAAAGCACCACATCTGGTACATCCTTTTTCCTTTACCAACAGGGCACAGACTTATAAAATCACACCTGTGCACAACTTACTGTATTCTTCCAAGCACAAGTGGGAGACATTCTGAACTAAATTCTAGTCCTAACTCTAAATCACTTTTTAAAAAAAAAAAAATTATTTATTTTTTATATATTTTACAGAGAGGAAGGGAGAGAGATAGAGAATTAGAAACATCGATCAGCTGCCTCCTGCACATCTCCCACCGGGGATGTGCCCGCTACCCAGGTACATGCCCTTGACCGGAATCGAACCCGGACCCTTCAGTCCGCAAGCCGATGCTCTATCCACTGAGCCAAACCGGTTTCGGCACTAAATCACTTTAAAAGCCTCGCCACTCTAGCCTCAGATTACAATATGTAATAATAAAGTTGGAACAGTTAGGTTCCTTTTCAATTATAATCTTCTCTAATCAAGTTCTCTGATTAACCTAGTTCTCCCCAATACCTGAAACAATTACAGACATTCTCATTCAATTCCAAACTGCTATGTGTGTATCTCTAATATGACTATGGTCATATCAAGCACATGATTAAAAAATAGGCATTTCTATTGGCTTTTCTTTTTTTAAAAAATATTTTTATTGAGTGCAGAAAGGAAGGGATTGGAAGAGAGAGATAGAAACATCAATGATGAGAGGGAATCATTGATTGGCTGCCTCCTGCAGGTTGGACCAAGCATGTGCCCCCAACCCAGGGACCTGCCCTTGACCGGAATTGTACCTGGGGCCCTTCGGTCCGCAGGCTAACACTCTATCCACCGAGCCAAACCGGCCAGGGCTCTATTGGCTTTTCATTAATGTGGTAATATAAGCATGTTAATAAGGAAAATACTAGGTGGTAATTGAGAAAATTATGATGGAGTTGAAAACAAGCATGGATCTTCTTTTGCATTCTTTTTTTTTACAGAGAGGAAGGGAGAGAGATAGAGAGTTAGAAACATCGATGAGAGAGAAACATCGATCAGCTGCCTCTTGCACATCTCCCACTGGGGATGTGCCCGCAACCCAGGTACATGCCCTTGACCGGAATCGAACCTGGGACCTTTCAGTCCACAGGCTGACGCTCTATCCACTGAGCCAAACCGGTTTCGGCTTCTTTTGCATTCTTAAACTTGCTTCTGCTTTTCTGTTTTACTACTGATACTACTACACCTCATCTCAGTATTTACTCACCTCTTGCCTTTCTAATGTATAGTGAACAATGTTGTGAAACAGTAATTCACAGCATTTTTTTTTATAGCACTCTAGATTAAGGACATAATAGCTTTCCACTGTTTTTGACCAATTTCAAATTCTTGCCTGGTATTCACAATTTCACATTTATCCATTTTGTTTTCCCAATTCCATAAGCTTCAAGAATCATGGAAGGGGACGTGCAGGAGGCTGCCGATCAATGATTCTCTCTCACCAATGATGTTCCTCTCTCTCTCTCCCTCTCCCTTCCTCTCTAAAATCAATAAAAAATAAAAAACATGGACAACTCACTTTTTTTTTATACCCCTGAGTTCAGAATAACTCATATGTTTATATGCAGTTAATTTTGTACTTTAATTTTTAAAGTTACAGAAGTCTTTTTGGCCAAAATTTATTACCAACTTGCATATATTTACAGAAAGCATGGCTATAACTTGAGAAAGTGTTACCAAAATAAGGCAGGCTTAGTTTGAGGATACTTTAAGAAAGCAACTCTTAAAGCTAAAAAAATGTAAAGGACTATGCTCTTTTTTAAAAGACAATTTTTAAAAGATATGCTTTATTGATTTTAGAGAGGTAGGGAGAGGGAGAGATAGAAATACTGATGAGAGAGAAACATTGATCGGTTGCCTCCTGCATGCCCCCCAGTGGGGATCGAGCCCCCAACCTGGGCATGTGCCCTGACCAGGAATTGAACCAGTGACCTCCTGGTGAATGAAATGACACTCAATCCACTGAGCCACACCAGCTGGGCAAAAAGATATATATTTTAATCAAAGACACAGCATGTTATTCTACTCAGTCTTAGCACATAGCAAGCAAAATACTCTATCAGCACTGTAATCATCCTAATTTAATGTATTTATCTCTAATTAATCTTACATATGTATATTACATGTAAAACATCTAGAACAGTGACAGACATGATAGGTGCTCAATAAATACTGGCTGTAAGTAACAACAGATTAAAGGCTGCAGTCAATAATGGAACAGGAGGGCTATTTGCTTTCCACCATTCTCACAGCAGTTTAGTATATCCTATGAAAAATGTGTGCTTAGTTTTAAACAATGGGTATTAGCTATTTTTGTAATTAACCTAGTTCCCCCCTAGTTCTTTTTCCTATATAAAGTAATTATATAAGGAATGCTATGCTTTGGTGGGCAGCTGCATGGTGTAAGTGGGAACATGAAAGTGTCCAGGAAACAAATGGCAAACCACAAAACTCGCGCAGTAATTTACTTTATTTAGTGTGAGAAACAACAAATAAGAACAATGATTATAAAAAATCAATAAAAAGTGACATGCATTTTTGGAAAACCAGACAGTTTCTTTTCAGACTTTAACTTTCTGGGCACAGAGAGGGTACCTGCCTGGAAGTTTAAAATGCAGGATGGTTTAGTTTGCTGTGATGGAGTGAAAAATGCATTCTTATTTATTACATCTCATTCCTTTCTAACAAGAAGGATACAAAGGTAGTAGGGAAGAAAAGGATTAACATTGAAGGAATTTACTAAACAAATGTTCACCTTTGCATTTTCATTTGTTTCTTGAAAGAGCTAAGCTGGGAAAGCAAGTCCAACTGTTACCACAAGTGTACGATTGAGAGAATGAAAGGTCCTCAGAGGCAAAAAATAAAAAATGTCAAGCTGAGACATTTATTAGCTCTAGAACAAGAGAAAAGAACACTTGGTTTTAGGGCAGGGAAAGGTAAATGTCAATTTGAAAGGTAGTTAAGGAACACGTTAGAACATAAAGACTACTTCTGGGGGTGGGGTGGAGACTGATGGGAATATGGTGATGGACCCTATACACACACAGGGGGCCTCAGCGAAACTGCAGAGGACTGATCCTTAAACCAATCACATCTTTGCCAACCTCTGTCACCTGTGGAAGAGGAAACAGGAAAAAGTTAGGAGTTTGAGAGGTTGAGACGCCTAGAAAGCTTACCCCCTCCACTCTCCCATGAGCACAGTCAAGTGCTGCGTTACTGTTAGTGCAGTGATTGACAAAGAGTGGGAGAAGCTCTCGCTGTGTCCAGTATACTGCCTCAAGGCGGCAGGGGCAAATGCAAGAGAAAAAGGACCAATGTGCTTCGTTTTTTCCCTTCCCTCAATATCCTGGATGCATTTCTTGAGGACAGTACTTACTGTAGTGACTCTACAGATTTGACCCTTGAATTCAGGGGAATAGCAGGCCCCACTGAGCGGACATTTTTCCACTGGTTTCCCACGGTAGATGGGCCGGTAAGATGCAGCACAGATGTCGAAAGGGTTGTGCATGTCATAATTAAGTTGGTAGGCATCTGTGGGGTTCTTCTCGCAGGCTGCCAGGATTTTCCGGGTCTAAGAGAGGGAAGGGATATTTTATTTAAGAGTACTAAAAGCTTCACACAACTCAAATGACCTCATCTTTATGGTTTAGTAGCTTCTTTGGGGCAGGATGAAATTGCACTGAATTCAGAATACAACCTCTGTGCAGGATATGTATGAAGGGGTAATAATGACCATTCCTGTGGTATCAGGTTTTTCCTTCTCAACATCAAAGAAGTTGCCTGGATCTAGACCCATATTCCTCTACCAAGTCTGAGAATTATCAGGGTCAGGCCTGAGTAAGAACTGGCTTCCACTGCCCAAGAATGCTTTTGGAGAACACAATGGGACATATATGTGGAGGTTAGTGGTGGTGGTACTGGGAGATCTGGAGCTTAAGGTCAGGCATAGGGTTATTTTCAGGTGCAGTGGAGCTATTCTAGGTTGCCAGTCACCCTCACACTGGCGCCATGTCTGAGTAAGTTATTAGTTCAGTTTCCAGGAACAAAAGGAGATGCCCATGCCAGTAAGTAAAAAGAGTCAAATTTTGTGGCTGTTTTTGTTGAATAGCATTCCGTGCTTTATATTAGCAGCAAGGGCCTTGGTCTACTACTCCCTCCATGTAAGAGCAGACCTGGTTCTTTTATGCTCACAGACGGAGTTCCTATCTACCTGTTGAGCCACCTCTGGCTTGGGACCAAGTTCCAACAGGCGCCGAGCAAAGGTGGCAGCTGTTTTAAAGTTCTTGAGCTTGAAGAAGAGGTTGAGGGCTGTCCGCAGCACCAGGATCATGTGCACAGGCTGCAGGTTTGAGTGGGTGAAATAGGCTGCCATCTGGTGGACAAAAAGAGGAACACATGAGGCTGATGCTACTGTTGAGATAGGTCAGTGATGGCGAACCTATGACACGCGTGTTAGGTGACACGCAAACTCATTTTTTTGGTTGATTTCTTTTGTTAAATGGCATTTAAATATATAAAATAAATATCAAAAATATAAATCTTTGTTTTACTATGGTTGCAAATATCAAAACATTTCTCTGTGACACGGCACCAGAGTTAAGTTAGGGTTTTTCAAAATGCTGACACGCTGAGCTCAAAAGGTTCGCCATCACTGAGATAGGTCATGCATAGCTGGTAAACATGCATTTAAAAAAACCACACAAATAAAAACAGGACTGAGAAGTCTTCTGCTTCCTAGGTATGGAAGACTGATGAGATGAGGAAGAAGGGTGGAGAAATGCGTTCTCTTCTCACAGAAATGGGACCAAATTTCTCTTAATCCCCAGATTGAGATCTGGGTTCAGACGTAATGGAGGGAAAAGGGAAGGAAACCTCTTTACTGCTCAGAGGGCCACAGGTCCTACCTCACAGGTGCGTTTCTGCTGGTCCAGACTCTCCTTGGGCAGCTTCTTCCTTTCTATCTCCATGGACAAACCCACAATGTACTCACGGCAAATGGTGATGAGCTGTTGGGCCTGAAGCAAGGGGCAAAGGAAGATCATGGTACAGAGGCAGGAATGTGGGGGCGCCCATGACTAGCACAAGTAGGAGACCCCTCCTAACCTCGGCAATCTCCTGTTTATTGTCCACAACAAGGAGCGGCACACTGAGTAAAATGGAACGGAATTTCTCCACAGCCTCCTCGAACTTGCCCACTGTGGTGAGCTGGTAGCACAGTTGCAACCGTTGGATGAGGTCATTAAGTTTCAGGCCCACAGCTGGTACACCATTCTTCAGCCCTGCATCCTTCCTAAAAATGGAAAAGTAGGAAGAAGATAGACAATAATTAGGAGCCCACTGGGACTCAACTACTTTTTCTGGCAACATAACCACTGTGAAAGTAGTAACCAAACCTCACAGAGTGCCAAGCCAAAAATCTTTCCCGATCAGGAAACCCCAGCTTTGGAGAAATTGTGACTGGCCCTGAGGCTACCACCTGAAATACCTAAACCATTTTGGAACAGATAAAAGTCAGGAACAAGAGGTCTTACCAATTGCGATTAGGGTAGCCATACATGGAGGGCAGGCAGGGCAGAGCCTGATAGGTGGTACGGCCTCGGGCGTATGTCTGCATGAAGAGTTGCTTGTAGGGGCCAAACTGAGTTACCCCCACCTGGTCGTGAAGGAGCTGAAATACAGGAAGCCAGGAACATAAGGATGTTTCTCCTACCTACCACTTAAAAACCAATTACCTTGGGCAAGGTAGATAACTTCTCTGTACTCGTTTCCCCATCAGTATATTACACTTACTTATAGGACCTAGCTCATTTAACAATACCTATTAAAGCATTTAGGATAGAGCCTGGCACACAGTGAATAAATGTTAATTGTTACAGTTGTGGTGGCTGTTATTGCTATTGAACACATGCTTAGTGTTCAAAACATATACCTGTTTATGAAGGGATGCTTACTTTACTGATGCGAGCCAGAAAGCAGGCTATAAAATGAGTCGAAGATGGCTGGAAGGACTCACCTAGGAGATTACTAAGCCAAATGGAAAGCAGGTAAGAGGAAGGCCTTTGAGACAAGTTTCCTCAGTCAAGACCAAGGGTTTCCATGGTAAAAACATGTCTCTGCCCTTGTGGGTGGGATAATTTCCATTTGGGTAAGGTGAGTCAACCATCTCCCTGGGACTCTGGTTGAGACACTCAACAAAAGCCAAAGTTACTTTAAGACTTACCCTCATGGCGGTTTCAAAAGATCCTGCCAGGATGTGATCAACTGGAAGCTGAGAGTTATTGCACCAGGTCTAACAAAAAAACAGAAAACCCAAGCCCAGTGAAAGCTTGTTCTTACTCTTCCCAAACTATCCTACTCTACATCAATACTCCTGACACATCAATGATCGCCGCTCAGAAACACTCATCCCCACAGGGCTGCCTCCCTGCTTACCTGAGTTGGGCTGGTTCCCTTGGTGGGGGGCACAAAGAACCCATCCTCAGCCCCACCAGCTGCAGGGGGTATATCCTATGGGAAAAACAGTGAGTGAGTCACTTTTTTCAAGCATTCTGTCCTGATAAATCTTTTCTTTTTAATATATTTTATTGATTTTTTACAGAGAGGAAGGGAGAGAGAGAGAGAGAAACATCGATGAGAGAGAAACATCGATCAGCTGCCTCCTGCACATCTCCTACTGGGGATGTGCCCACAACCCAGGTACATGCCCTTGACTGGAATTGAACCCGGGACCTTTCAGTCCGCAGGCCGACGCTCTATCCACTGAGCCAAACCGGTTCCAGCAGTCCTGATAAATCTTAATAGAGCACGATACCTGGTTCCCAGTCTCTACTGGAGAGGAGGGGTTGTGGTTGTGGGAAAAGACACTCAAAATGGAAGCAGCTTCACAAGTAACAAAATGATACACCAAAGCGTGCTGACAAAAGGCCTGCTGCCTTTCCATAAGCTGCTGCGGGCACAACACTGGTTATCTCATTCTTTCTTCTTTCAAATGGGAGACAAAGCATCAGATTAGGAGGGTCTAGACCCCCTTCCTTTTGGGGACCTCAGGACGGGGTGGTGATGGTGGGGTGGGCAATAAGGCCACTGGCTTCCACAGGGAGGAGAGTGAAAACTTTACAAGGGTAAGAATTCCACCTACCAGCTCAGGCGGGAGCTCCAGATCTTCTTCTACCTCCCAGCCACCTCCTTCTTCCTGTCCCTTCCCAAGAGCGTCATCCCCCAAACCGTCTGAAGCCTCCACAAACCCATCTGTAAGGAAAGCCCAAGCTCAGAATAGATCCCGGTAGTGACAAAATCTTAGCCAAAGAAAAGCAAAATGTTGAGATCCTTATTAGTCCATGGTTTGGAACCCTGCAGAACTGCCCACAGCCCACTCCAGGGGACGCATCTGCTCAGACCAGTCCTAGAATAGTATTCTTACCTTCATCCAGCTGCAGCTCTGCATCCTCTCCCCAGCCCTCAGTACCAACAGTGTCAATGTCAATGTCAGCAGCCAGTGCTCCTCCCTTCCCTGCAGAGGGAAAGGACAAACAGAAGCTGGTTATAGTCAGGCAGGTGTGAGATGTGGCTTCCTCTGCAGGCAGCTGAATCCTTACAAAAGCAGGTGATAAGGTTCTGTCACCTTAATATTTTTGTTCATTATTTATAACTAGAAGCCCGGTGCACAAAAAAATATATAAATTATGCTTCGATTATTTATAACTAGAGGCCCAGTGCACAAAAAAATATATAAATTATGCTTTCAGTAGGTTTCATAGAGAGAGGGAACAGAAGAGAGGGAAACAACTGGCCTTCCAGCTACCAAAAACTGCCTCTTAATCATTTTTTTAACTTACCAACCTTTGGTAAAAACTTTAGACTTTCTTACTGAGATCTTTGCTAAGTTATCACTATAGTGTGCACAGGGCATGAGGACATAGGGTTGGTTAGAGGAGCAGAGCTGGGAGCAAAATGCCTAAGGGTCTACTTAAGCTCTAAGTCAGGAGAAATGACTTAGTAGACATAGCCAAGAAGACAGGAGGAGAGCTAAGGGTGGGTATGGTGGCAGAGATCTGCATATACCCACATGACAGAATCTGAGGTAGCTGAATTTATCCTTTTAACATTGTACGTCATGAGTGATAAAATACTCAGTGGAGAGTATTACTATATATATGGTAAAACCTAAGGAAATACACCAAAATGCTAGTAGTGGTTGTTAGAAGCATGAACTAAGACATCTCTCTTTTTCCCACCTATTTTCCAAATGTTAAGGATCTCACAACGTTTTTTAGATTTTAAAACACTGTATACCGTAACTCTGGCATCTCAGTGCTCCATGAGGTTTCATACAGAAAATAAGGACA